GGGGTTTAAAAAAAAAAAAAAAAAAAAAAAAAAAGAGTGGTTCTCAGCTGACGTCTCTCCCCACCTCATGTCACTTCCTTTTAAAGCTACAATTCACCAGTCCAGGGGAGAGGGCTGCTAATGCAACATCTGCGTGACTCACCCGCTCCCCCCATCAATTAGCAGGAGGAAGTAAGTCTTTCGCTTTTGTTTCCCCTTGGAAAGCACTGCTACAAAACCCCCCTGCCACAATGCAGGCAAAGCTTTATTGTATATCACCCCCCCTCCAACACACACACACGCTTAATCCCAGTGCTTCCATTTAGGCAGGCTTCATCTTTCTTCCCCAGGCTGCCGGTGGTGTTAGTGTCATGACTTGAACACGTTTGCTAAATTAGATCATTACTAATTGAAGAGGATTACACTCCATTTGCATTATGCCATCCTAGATGAGCATCTTTGATCCCTCCTGCCTGGAAGTTATTAAGAAGCACAGGAGAAGCAGCAGCTTGATCAAGGAAAGCAAATGCACAAACATGACCAGAACTTTTGAGACAAAAACCCAGGGTTTAGTTACAGGCAGAGCGTGATGTAACTGCACGGAGAATGCTGAACATGAACGAGAGCAATGGCATTTCAGCATGCAGTGCTGGCTGCATCCCCACATGCTGATTCAAGGCTGCATGTAAAACCCCGGGCACCAGAATGGGACAGATGGGGCAATCCAGGAAGAATGCCACCGAGTCCTTCAGAAGGGGTGTTCAACAGCTGCCATGGATGCTCAGCACCATCCCTTAGGGGAACTAATATGGTATCCAGGGTGGATCTGAAACAAGTGGAACAGGTGGCAAGGTGATGAATCCAACTCTCTCAAAAGGGTGGGGTGCACGGTGTCTCCTACAGGCGTTTCAGAGAGAAAACCCTCTACCACCACCACCTAGATTTAAGATATACTTACATGGTAAATGACACTAGCTCAATGATCTGGACAAAGGAAAAAAGATATATATAAAAAACCCACCCTTTTCAGATGGCTGGCTTCCAAGCACTGAGTATGCTGACACACAATATTCACCGTCTGTGAAACCCAAACATTTAATGTCAGTCTTTGACTGCAAAGTGAAAAAGTTTCTTTCATGAATGAACAGAATGGAAAATGGCAAGAACAATGCTTCTTAGATGCACAAAGAACTGGAAAATGATGAAGCAAAGGTGATTTAAGCCTGAGATAAGTGTTCTTGGTACTGGTATTTAGAGGTGTGAAGCACAGGAGAACCACCGCTGCCTGGCAAGTAGAGCACTGGGCTGAAACAAGACATATTGGTTGTATTCTCGTGTCTGTCACTGATCTGCTGGGTAACTAGACTTGGGCAAGTCACTTCCTCCCTCTGTGCATCAGTTTTTCCCACTTGTAAAACAGAAATAAAGACACTCAGGAGCTTTGATATCTATAGACAAAAGATACCATGGAAGCAGTGGGTATTCTTACAGGCATTAATTGCATGACTGCATTTTTTAATTGCGTGACTGCATTTTTCCCCTCCTTTTTACAACTCTGTTTAGTGCCTGGAGTAGACAGGTTCATAATAAATGAGGGTGCTGTCTGTGGGTTCCTTGCCTGGTTTGCATCAGATACTAGAACCTGTGTGGTTGAAATGGTAAAGGACCTAGGTAAACTAGATTCTCTTCTTGGTTCCTTCAATATACGAGTTTTGGTAAGTTACTTAATGACATTAAAAAAAAAAGGACTGGGGCCCTAAAGTAGGATTTAAGCAAATGTTATGCTTACATCCAAAATTGCAATCTCAAAAAATCCCTTCTCAACTGCTTCCTCATCCTACGGATATCCAGGTTGTAGCTGTATTGTTCTAGTGGCACCTGATTCGTCATCCTACAGGCATCTAAAGTCATGACTCAGGTTTTGACATTAAACAGTCTCTAGAAACCTTTATTTCTTTGTGCCTAGAAATGCCTCAGTCTGAACAATGCTAAACAGCTTGGCTCCTCCTCCAGCCATGCTTTAAAACAAGAGTGGCCCTAACTGCATTAAAAAAAAATAACAAGGGATATTATTTTATTTTTTTTAAAAAAAGAAACTACCCTTAAGAGGTGGTTCTGAACTGTGAATCCCAAGTGGAGCAACACATCTTCACTCCAGCTGCAGAACAATGGAGAGGTGCAGCTGAAGGGAGTGAGTGCTGTGGACATTAGCACCTTTGAAAAATCAGACCTCAGATGTCTCAGAATAGATATCCACTGATTGAGGAACCCCAAATCAATGGAAGTTATCAGTTTTGGCTGAAGTCTCTCTGCCACAGTTTCCCATCTGTAAAATGGAAATAGTAGCCATGAAGAATGTAATACTTCTGTATTCAAAGCAGGGTTTGCACAATGTACAGGAAATATAGCCTGGAGTCAAATAAACACTGATAACAAAAAAGATATATGAACAACTGCCTTTTTTCCCTGAGACCCACCCAACTTGAGCAATGAATGAGTCAAGCTTTCTGAACAAACCGAGCATGTAATTAATATCTGGAGTAGATAGGGAACTAAATCCAGGCTACACAGGGCATTTTTGATGTTTCTGAATTTTTGTATGTTGCACTTGGTAGCCTTAATCATGAATTTTTTACTTAGTTTTGCACACACATATAGAACTCTATTGTTTGTATTGAGTAATAATCAGTGATTCTAATCAAGATAATGACCTTGTCATGTTAAACATGCAAGAAGACCAGATCCTAGCTCATCACTGGACAACTAATGGGTGATGTGCATGAAATAAGTTACTGATCTTAACTCAATCTGTCTATAACAGCTGTTTGAGCCGTGCCAGGCAGAGCACATGTTAGTTAGGTGAGGCCAAATGGAATAAAAGTGCATCTCTCCTACTTTCACCAGCTGGAGTGGATTAGCACATGTCTCTATAACTGCATAAAGGATTAGATTTAATAAACTTAAGGTTTGGCTGTACTATCAACTTCTGCTGCTTTACCTATGTGGCTCCATTTAAAGCAATAAAATTCTTATTGTCCATATAAATATAAATTGACAAAAATGCTTACGTTGGCATAGTTTATTCTGAGATCAGGTACCCTTATACTGGTATAATTGCACCCATCCTAGGGCTTGTAGCAATGCAACTAGTACAGGTGGAGGAAGAAAAAATTATTTGGGGACAGGACTGAGAGTGCCCCCATGCCTCTTGGGGTGTGCATAGTAGCAGGAGCCGTGCCCCCTGGACAAGCCACTCATGGCTCAGTCCCCTGCTGCACCCCAGCTATGCAGCACCTGCCTAACTCCAGCCCCACTCCCACTCCCTTCCTCACCGCTGCACATGCCCCTCCCCATCCCTGCTGCAGCTGCAAGAAGCCTGTGGCTGGGCTGCCTTGTGGCCCTACCACTGCCCTGCGTCTTGCGGTCTAAGCCCCGTTAGTCCCCGCTTTTGCTGCCTACGACAACTAGGTTGAATTTTTTTTTAAATCACATCCTGGTCAAGGTAATCATCCACGAGCAAGCCATACAAGGAAAAGCTGACAGGTATGGGGCTGTTCAGCCTAGAAAAGAGAAGACTTTAGGGGGATTTGGTGGCAGCTTACAAATATATCAGGGGTGAGCATCAGGAGCTAGATGAACAACTATTCACCAGAGTGCCCCAGGGGAAAACCAGCAGCAATGGTTATAAACTCCTAGAAGAAGGTGTCAGACTGGATATAAGGAAAAACTTCACAGTTCATGTAACCATAATCTAGAATAGACTCCCAGCAGGGGTGGTGCAGGCACTTACCCTGCAGATCTTCAAAAGGAGACTGGATGCACACCTTGCTGGGGTTATTTGACCCCAGCAGTCTTTCCTGCCCAGAGCAGGGGGCTGGACCCGATGATCTCACAAGGTCCCTTCCAGCCCTAAATGCCTGTGAATCTCTGACTTCTCTAGTGTACACCATTTTTAAGTGTAACCTGTACCAATTCATCTATTTCAGTCATTTAGTGATTCCACTATCTTCAGGAAGGCTTGCATATATGCAGAGCACATATGAACAAAAATAACCTGTTGAAGTCAGACCTCAGGGGCACAGCGATTTCTGTAATAGATTTATTCTTGCATTGAGGATTCATATCACTAAAGCTGTGTTGAATGCAGACATGACATTAAGATAGTGTATGCCTGACTCTGTCCTGTACAAGGTTTAATTAACATGCATTTGATATTTGGTGATAGGAGGAGTTGAGAAGGAATTCACTTAATGAGTTTCTTCCTTTGAACTTGGATTAATTTTAGGGATAAATCCAGAAGGACTAGTTTGTAACTGGCACATTGATCTTTTAAAAGAACACCATTTCTTACATTAATAAGATACTGAGGGTGGTACTTTCAAAGGGTGTCCTAAGCTGCTTTTTGTCAGATCAGGCCCAATATTTGGATGTACACTTATCTGCATGAAAAGGCTGTATATGCATATGAATTCTCTACATACTTTAAGTATCCAGTTTGCACATGCCCATGAAGAAAAATATTGTTTGTTTACTTGTTTATCTACTTGGGCTGTATCTGATATCAAATGCCATGGACTCTGATGTTCCATCACATTAAGAAAATTTGGATCTGCACCTGTAGTTTGCAATTCACCCCTTTCATCACAATTAGTTGAACTGAAGACTCATATCTGGATATCCTTAAGCTTTTGGAAGGTTTTAATATGACTTGGGAGACTCATCAATGTTGTGTGTGCATGCAGATGGGCAGAAATTTTCTAGGCCTAAATTAGGCGATTATTTGGAAAAATGGTTTTATGTGGGTTAGTTATGGAAATTAAAAAGGTTTGATACACATTATTATAAGAAGTGAAGTGAAATGTACATAGTATGGGAACGCTGCCAGTTAAATGGCACACTCTGCTCTGAGCAAAATTAAGGGTTGCCATTTCCTCTGCCAACTCACAGTGCACCAGGACTGACATTTTGCTATTATTGACCTTATCTTCCCTCT